CAACAGCCATCTGAAGAGCAAAGCAAGTCTCTTGAAAAACCAAAACAAAAAAAGAATCGCTGTTTCATGTGCAGGAAGAAAGTGGGACTTACTGGTAAGGGCCTAAATCCAATGGTTTAAACTTAAGATTGTATTTTAAAATAATGCATGGCTTACTGTTCCTGGCTTCAATGCAGATCATTTTTGTTCCCATGAGAGTTAATACTGGATATACTTCAGCTTCTGAATTTTCTTAAATAAAGTAGCTTTAATTATATACCTGAAAGTGAAATGAATAGATTTTCTTTTAAAAATTCATTCCAGCTGGGTTTGAGAGCATTCGACAGGTCGGATCACAGTGCCAGGTGCTGTGAAAGGCATGGCTCCTGCCGTGGCAAAGCCAGAAGCTGCGGAGGAAGGGGGTAGTTAAGTACTTGGCAGGCCGAGAGGTACTTTGTCTGCGTAGAATGGCTGATGATGGTGCTCGTGAGGGCCCAGTGAGTTGGCCCTTGTGAGGCGTCAGCCCCCCGCCGCAAGACTGCAACAGAGCTGTTAGACGGTTCTGTTACTAAGAGAGGAAGAAAAAATACTTGAAATATTATCTGGATATTTAGCAAATGAAGTAGATTGAGTACAGTCAATGGATTACTTTGGGAGTTCAGGGACAGGTATCCTAATTAATTCATGTAAAAGAAGGGGAGTAGAGGCCCATCACGGAGAGCGTCATGGAGGCAGCGTGTTTCAGCTGGGTCTTGAACGATGAGTAGGACTTAGAATGGATGGAAACAGGGCCATTTCGGGCAGAAAGATTAGCCTGAACAGAAGGTCGGATAAAGGAAAGAATGGGGCACATTGAGGGGCCCGAGCTGGGGAGGGCGGCAGTAGCACGTGGCCTGGGAAGAGGGGTGTCCCCTGAGAAGGCTGCTGCTGTGGGCTGTGCCCCACGGTGGGGAGCACGCGCAGCTGGAAAGAATCCATTTATTATCTGTTGTGTGCCTGGCATTGTGCTGAATACTCCACAAAAATTTGACTTCAGAGCTGAGAAGAGTAGATGAGAGTTTCAGGATCTCAGGAAGGTTTCTCTGGCCAGGGAACAGGTTGTAGAGAAGGTGGAGGGTGGAGTGCAGTCTGGTATCAAAGGTGTTGAAGACTGGCCCATGCTTTGGCAGATGTGTTTATTTAAAGAATACAAGCATGAACAAATCAGGTATTTTAAAATACACATGTTTAGTAACAAATAATAGTCTTTCTGCATCTCAGACACTTTCAGACTTCGTGATTGGAAGGCTGAGGCGTAGTAACTTCCATCCCGTCCAGCCTGTCAGCCTGGTGTTGCCGTAGGCTTCATTTTCTATTCCTTATCATGAAGCTACAGAATATGTTTCTGAAGCAAAAACAAAATGTGGTAGAGGACGCTTCCATCAGCTGTCAGCATTCGAAATACTGATTCCTCTGCTCCATTTCCAACAGTTCCTTCCTACCATAAAATCTTAATTTTGGGAATCAGGACGGGTTTGATATGGATTATCCACACTCTCTCTTTCTCTCTCTTTTGGCTTCAACTCTTTGGGCATGTCCCTAAAATAAATAGCATTTATGGCATGTTTACTAAATGTTAAGCGTTTAACACATTCCTCATTTAATCCCTATAGTAATTTATTATTCCAAAATTACAGATGCAGAAGCTGAGGCTCAGAGGAGCTAAGTAATTTGCCTGCGTTAGTAAGCGGATTCACACTCAGGCTCTGGACTCCAGGCCCTGCTCTCACTCAGCCAGCAGGAGCTGGGTCGCCTCTGCACTGGGGGTCTGCCCGGGAAGCCAGGGTGCGGAGCGTGCTGTTTCTTAGCAGTTCTCCCAGCAGTCTCGTTACACCTTTGCTTAGTTCAGTTTTCAGGTTGCCTTCTGAGAGTGTGCTTATTTCACATTTAGAATGTGGGCTTGAGAAGTGTCTTCCATCCAGTGTAGCAGTCCTGATTTTGCTAAGAAGTAGTTGTGGTCACGTCACAGGTGAAGAGACTGAGCTCTCAGGGGAGAAGCGGCGAGGATCCGCTGGGCATACAAGCCTCTATTTGTAGCTAGGAATAAAACGAAAGCTATCAACTAGTGAATTCTGAAAACGTTACTAGGTCCTGAAACTATCTGGAATGATTCTTTAGACGGCTGCCCTAAATCATGATATTTTTAACATTAATGATACTAAGGAACTTAACGGACCTTCTATCCAACTCACGTGTGTGTACTGATCCATTTTCAGGGTTTGAATGCCGGTGTGGAAATGTTTACTGTGGTGTACACCGTTACTCCGATGTACACAATTGCTCTTACAATTACAAAGCTGATGCTGCTGA